TATCTATCTATCTATCTATCTATCTATCTATCTATCTATCTATCTATCTATCTATCTATCTATCTATCTATCTATCTATCTATCTATCTAGCTAGCTAGCTAGCTAGCTAAACCAGCTGATTCATGCTGTTGTAAACACATCGCCTTCTACTGTAGTTACAGTGAGCTTAGGGGGGCTGACATCTCCCTTTTAAGTCTAATTCTACGTATTTAATTTCTGTAAAGATTTTATAATTGTGCATAACTAACTAAACTAGTTGTTCTTTGCAGAACCATCATTTCTAGTGAGATGGAGGTGTTGTTACCATTAATGGATCAGTGTTGAGTCTTGTTTTAACCGGCTCTAGCAATGAGCAATAGTTAGAAATGAAACTTCCTGTTCATTAAGGTTTGCAAACATCTTCCTGTACAGCTCCCCTGAGATAAAAGCAAACAAGATAAGATCTGAACTTTGAGATTTTGCAAAGTCTTGACTGTTTTCTTTTTCTATTGGACTGTTGCTGTGTTTGAGATCAATGTCCTGTCCAGGACCAAGTTTTACCTAAGTTATAGTTTTCTGAGAGAAGGCATCACTTATGAAACTTCAGTTTACAGAGGACTCAATAAGTATCTGAGAGGCTGTGGCTGCAAAATAATCCCAATTCATCACCTTCCTGCCATCATCATAAAAAGCTAGTGTAAGGAGTTTGTTATTTTCTCCAAACATGAGGATGTGCATTGCATCTTACAAGCTGTATGCATCGAAATCTAAAGTTTAAGTCTAAGTCTATAGCTACACATTTCTACTAATCTGTTCAGGAGAAAGTTGTTCCAAAAATTGTGTGATTTATTCAGAGCAAACGTTACAAACTTGTGTCACACATCCATAATATTTATGGCAAGAAAACCATTTTTCATTTCAACTATCAAAACATCTGTCATCACATTGCTGTAGGAATTTTTGCAACCTCTCAGAGCAAAATGCAATCTGACCTAATGCTGCATATGCTTCAACAGTCAAACTAATTTTCTATGATTGAGTTTGAATTACTTTTTACTTTTTTTATTAACCATTTTAACCAATGTTTGTTTCTCTCTACCTTGTGGGATTGAGGCGGCAAACATGGAGGGTTTAGAAATCTTCTCTTATAAAGGGTAAGTAGGGCAAGGCCAGTTTATATGAATAGCACATTTAGGTTAAGATGGAAATCCTAAGTGGTTTACATTAAAAAACATAAATAAAAAAAAGGTGGCTTGCAAGGGTATAATACGAGCTGAAAAGAAAAGTGGGTCCCAACCTTAATCTGCAGTTTTACAGTTTTCCGGAAGTTTGTTGAGACATTAATCCTAATCCTGAAAATGTTTTTCAGCTCATATAAGGTTGACCCAGATTTCTGCCCTGATCAGTGGTTTTTAGCTGTAGCAATTAAAGCTGCGTGCTGACTTTGGATCACTCCTTCTTTGGTCCAAAAACTACCACCACAGATTTTTTTTATTTTTTATTCAGGAGGAGAAAAGTTTTGCACACAACTGATTAATTCTTTGAATCTACTTTAAAAATGGATTTACAGTCACCAGCTAAAGAGATTATTTACAGTTTTGTGCAATCAGCGTATATATGGTAACTTATCCTGTTTTCAATAGTTGATTAGATTAAAATGATAATATAGACAAATTAACTTAATTTGAGCTGTTTTTATTTATTTATTTAATCCCTGGTTGGATCCTCGTGTTTCCTTACAACTTTTAATTGATATTAAATCATCTTAAAAAGTACATATGAAAGGCTGAACAAAAAAGTGCAACATGAATCTTAACCTGCTGTCCCTACTTTTTTGTTTTGTTTTCTTTTTCATAGATAGAAAAAAAAGGAGGGGTTACTTACGGCTGCTGAAGGAGGCTGAACTTCCTGATTTCATTCTCAGTCAGATTCTGTAAAAAAAAAAAAATAATGTAAATAATCTGAATCATTTATAAAATTATAGCCTTCACAAATTGAACTGGTTTTATTTCAAAACTCTTCAAAGTTTCCCTGAAACACTTTTTTTCCTTCCACTCAACCTTCCATTGATATACTTGGATACAGCCTGCTGAGATATACCAGCTTCTTCAACCTTTTTGACCCATCCTCTTTGGATTTTAAATATTGATTTATTTTTTTGAATAGAAATAGAGAAATAAATAATATCTATTATATATTCTAATTTATTGATATTTGCATTTTAAAGGATTTCACCATTAATTAAACCAGTTAGGGCAGATATATAAAGAAATGCATTGGTTCCTTAATAACAGTAGATGGCAGCATATGTCTGAAGAACATTTTACAAACAAAGCTTAGGTATTTCATGCAGTTTACACATTAGATATACTTACAAACAGTAAATATTACACTTATAATGTTTTTTATAGACTAGAATAACAACTAAATCTTCAACTGAAGTAGCTAAAAAGTATTGCAAAGGGAAACGCATTACTAAACAATAAAATAAAACATACGAAAAGGGTGTTTGATTTGCTATTTTTGACTGAACTCTAAAAAACTCTGATAAAAAAAAAAAACATACCAAAATGATCAATTTAAAATGAGTTTGAATTCCTAAACCATTTAATCCCATTTCAACATGTGTGTTGTTGCAGAAAGTTAATTGTCATTCCTAAATGAAAAGAAAACAATTAGCATAAAATATGCAAGGAGCTCTGCTAAATTATGTATTCCCCTCTTCATTCATAATTCATAGCTGCGGGTCGTTATTCGTTCTAAGTCGCTTCTGTATCAAAATTGCTGTAATGTGATGAAGACCCATGACAGCAGATTTCTGAAAGACTTTGCATTTAAGTCTCCGGGATGAGAAACGACAGAAAAGTTTGTCGTAAGATGGTTATGCATTAGATACACATTAAAAACTATATAGATATCAATGATGTAGAAATGGGCCAATATGAGCTCAGAATCTGAGTGCTGAATGCACAAAGTGCTACTTTATAAGCCTTCTGTCAAAGCTGTTTAAAGATCCAATGAAATGTTTTATATAGAGGAGCTTCAGAAAGCAGCTCCCCCTACCTCAGGTTGTTGATATGGGAAAAGAAGCACAAACGATTGTGTTACCTCTAGGAATAAGCCCATTGCATAGCTGGAAGCCCTTTAGGCAAAGCTTGTGATTTAATCATTTGTAAATCAGAGAGAAGGATCACTTAATATGAAAGGCTTTGCTTTGTTCAAATGACTGAACCTTGGCCTTAAAGAAACACACTTAATCATCGCACTGGCTTACAGGAGAGCAAAAAGCATTCGTATAAAATCAGACTTAGCCTTTTGACACAGAATAAAATATCAAACAGTCTGCCCCAGTGGATACTCAGGTACTTCTCCTCGCTTGAATTATTTATAGAAGTGTGTGCGCTTGCTTAAATGACACACAGGGGCTCCTTTTTTGCTCTACAGAACTGGAGTCTTCACATTCAGCTTCATTTTAATTCTTAAAGTGCTTTTTCAGGTAACATCCAGTCAAATACGTGACCAGAAAGTAACTCTATGTAGTCCTTTACATCTGAAGTGTTGTAGAAAACACCTTCTTGGTGTTGCCACCATAATGTAGTCCTTATGTAAGCTATGTTTTACAAGACTTGAAGTTTCTGAAAATGGCCTCCATTGGCCAATTGGCCTAAGGGTAGTGGTCAGACTAATAGAAAATAAGAGAAACAGTTCTTTCCCCTGACACTAACCAATTTATAGGTGATTCAATTAAATATTGTTTTTTCTATCTAGTTAAACTTCATTGATCTCATGTTGGAGAAATTTACCTCTGCATTTAACCAATCCCCTTGGGGAGCAGTGGGCTGCCATTGTACGGCGCCCAGAGGGCAGTGCGGGGTTAAGGGTCTTGCTCAGGAGGCTGTGGGGATCAAACTGGTCACATGCAACTTTCTCAGAGCAAAAGCGCACTGCTCTAACCACTAGGCCATCACTCCCAGATGCACAGTCATGAAGCAGAGCCAGAGAGGAACTGGGGCAAGTTTTCATTATAAGTGCAAACTGCAAAAACAATGTAAAAATGAGTAAAGCTTTCTTAGAATAGGGGTATTTATCCTTAATTTGAGTTCTGTAAGTAGATGAGTTGCCAGTGGAATAAGTATCTTTACCCACAAAATAATATAATTGGATATTAAACAACTGAAATGAAAGACTGTAGTTGTTTTTCCTTGATTTAAATGTAAATATGTCTTATTCCATTGGCAAAGAATGTCACTTACCTCCTCATTTCATGAAAAAATGCACTTAATTTAAGAAATATTTACTCATTAACAGTACATTTTTTGGTAGTGAAAGATCTCTCAGACTGTGGGGCCAAAGATTTGTGCAGGAGCTTAACCTGCCACACAATTTTTGGGGACTCCTGCTGTCATCGGTCCACTACATGTTAGCAGGGAGAAAAGGAATATTTAAAATCTGAGTGACAGGTAATTTTGCTACTAGCCGGTGCAGGAGTGTGAAATTTTCATTCACTTGTGCCACTTCTTGCTAACAAAGGAGAGACTAAAAATACTCCTAATGCATCATCTGTGAAAAACTAGAAAGACTGCAGAACTGAGAGATAAATATGTCTATTAGTACCAATTAACGTCACAGAAATTATGCTGCTTTGATCCTATGTGTAAGAAAAAGAAATATGACGATACAGCTTTAATTTTAGTAAAAAACGATTTCTTATTGTTGGAGGAAATAAGAAGATAAAAAAGGAAACTTGAGAGCAAACTGTCTCTGAGTTTTTAACATGTTATAATCCAATGCTCTCCAAGTCTGCTGATTGAAATGGCTTAATTAGGTATTTCAGCGTGCCATCAAGTTTGGCAAATGAGCAATTCATTTCATTCAGGTGTTACTGGGGTAGATGGATGCAATGAAGAGCTGCAGGACTGTAGCTTTTTGGGAGTAGAAATAAGGAACCCTGTTGTTGTTCGATTTTGTATCTAAAAATAAGGATTTCCATTTTCTGAATAAACAATTAAGCAAGAATCATAATCCAACATGGCTGCTATCTTAAGGTAATGATCTTTATATGTTAGTTACAGACATAAACTGCTGATTTTTTCTTCTGTTTGTTTCTCATTTTGTTTCTCAGTTAGGCAAAGGGCAATGCTGAAGATCTGAACAGCTGCTCTAAATGCAGATAAATCTTCACTATCAGCTTAAATTGCTGTTCTTGTTAGCCTGGTCACAAACTATAAACACAGAATGTAAAAATGCTGCACCGAGTACCGCACAAAAGGTGCACATGCATATTTGCAATCAAGGTTTAGCTCTATCTTTAAAACCTGGGAGCCTATTTGCTCCACATCAACTCAATTTATCTGTGCAGTTTTAAACTCTTTAGTATTCTGTTTCTAAACGTGATATCATTTCATTAAGACAATTAGTATACAAGTTTTCCAACCAGGAAAAACATGCAGATTGCATCAAGTCTTTAAAAAAAATTAACTAACCCTAACTAGGGTTTTTTTTTATTATTCTTTATTTTGAACATGCAAGAGAAAAAAAAAAGAATAAAACAATGTTTAAAAACATTGGAGAGAAAAACAACAAACAAGCTACCCTTCTTTCCTAAATTAATATACCTCTATTACATGTGCGAAAAGGAGTAGGAAGAAGTAAAACTTATGTACCGGTTCTCCTACCCCTTTAATTCTTGTATTTCTTTAATTTACAATATTTATAATTATGTTGCTATATATATTCATATAAATACATACCTACCTACACATATACATATACACATATACTGTCATACATATATACAAATTTACAAAACAAAAAACATATACAAAACTTTCTACAATGCTTCTCTATACCTTTTGAAAATAATTTCTTTGTACATTTTTTGAAAAGGAATATGTATAAGGTTGGGCCAGTGGCTCATTTTACGGGGGCACAGATCAAAAACAACCTCCATCCACCTTCTCCTGCTTATTCTGTCAGGGTCATGATGGGGTGGGTGCCTTTCTGGGAGTCAATGGGTGAGAGGCGGGGTACAGGCTGGACAGGTTGCCAGTCTGTCGCCAGGCAACACAGAGACACATACAACCATGCAATCACCTCTAACGACATTTTAGAGTTGCCAATTAACCTAACAGTCATGTTTTTGGACTGTGGGAGGAAGCCGGAGTACCCCGAGAGAAGCCATGAATGCACAGGGAGAACCTGCAAACTCCATGAAAAAAAGACCCCGGCCCAGGAATTGAACCGGGAACCTTCTTGCTGCAAGGTTACAGCACTTTTGTCTCCTTGTCATTGAAGCTAAAAGTGAAACAACTTAGTTATTAAATCATGGATGAAATAAAACATTAAAAATAAATAAATTAGTCGAAGAGACTTATCATTTTTAGATTCTGCTACGGAGCATATCATAACTTATTTATCATAACTTTATTTGGTATTGTTTCTTTGGTATAGTGGGCATAACAGGGGCCAGGACCGGTTCCACAGGGGGCCTGGCCGATCTACAACCACTTTGTCTACTTTGCAGCAATCCCTCATACATACAGTAACATACACGTAGGGACAATGGAAAGAACATCTGTAAATGGTTTTCTGCCACCAAATAGATCAGGCTGTAAAAAGGAACACAGAATCGTTGATCCAGGAGAATGTTCTTGGAAAGAAAAAAGTGAAAGTTTGGTGATCGTAGTGGCTCCTAAGTAACTTAATTAAGGAGAAAAATGCAGCACAGCAAATGAAAGACAGCACTAAGTGTATCAGTTATAAAAGTCGAACATGAAGTTTCAAGTCTTCATGAAGTTTACTCTAAAGACTATCTAGTTATACATTAGGAGTGTACACTGTGAGGATTTAAAAACAGAGTCAAATTCCTTGTTTGTAAATACAAACTTAAAAAAAAAAAAAGCCAATCTTGATTCTGATTGATTGACCTACA